TTTTGTTGACCTTTGTCCATGGAAGGTCCCTGCAAAATTTCATTGAAATTGGTTCAGGGGTTTTGGAGAAGAAGTCGAAAATGTAAATTGTTTACGGACGCACGACGGACGACGACGGACAAAAGGCGATCGCAATAGGTCACTTGAGACTTTGTCTCAGGTGACCTAAAAACATATGGTGTAAATATAGATATTTACCGTTTTTATCAGCCCTTCTAAAAACCTGTAATAGAAATAATGATATGTATTTATATGATTAGGCATATATAGGTCATATTTACACAAAAATCATATAAATATCCACTATAAGCTTTCTTTCCTTGTCTCTTAAAATCTATGTAGTATTTTGATCATAATTAAACTTATAAAGTTACATGTGGAAACCAGAGAAAGAGAAATGCAACAGCCAGACGGGGGTCCGAACCCGGGACCCTCCAAACTCTAGACGGACGCTGTACCAAGAGAGCTATACCAGCTGGTTGCCGACGATCGACCCAGTCCAGTTTCGCTACATTCCTCCCTCCTTTTTCTAAGTATTCGCTCCCAAAGGAAAACTATTTACAACTCAGGTTCGTATATCTTGTTGCTAAGCATTCACCCAGTGCTTCAAACAAGTGTTGGGAAGCTCACCAATTTTGTAACAGGTGAAAGAGAAATGCAATGGCCAGACTGGGGTTCAAACTTTAGACCGATTCTCTACCAATTGAGCTACCTGGTCTACCGACAATCGACCCAGTCCAGTTCCGCTACACATGCAGTTCTGGACCCACTGACCAGGACTGATGATGTTGACTGATCTCATGAATGACCAGAGGTTTATCAGGGTACGTTTTAGATCCATGCATTTAAAGTGAAAGGACCCATTGTAATATTCCCATTGGAAAAAAATGGGATTTGGGAAATCTTAAAAAACCCACATTTAACACCCACAACAGACATATATATATATCTGTCAAAATGTTTAAGTCTAGTGACAGAGGTCTTCAACACTGATTGTATTAATAGGTAGTTTTTCAATATGACAATGAGAGACAGACTGGCTAATGAAATTTCACCTTGACAAATAAAACATACTCAACATTTCACCGAAACGCAATAAATACACAATGACTACAAACTCCACAACCACATATTACACCAAGTATAAAAGTAGAATCCAGCAAATACCTAGGCTTAACATTACAAAATAACTTACGATGGGATAAACAACATCACAGCCGATGCCAATATAGGTCCCTAGGTTTTCTCAGACACAATTTAAAAATAAACTCACCACATATAAAAGAACATGCATACAAAGCACTAATCAGACCAAAACTTGAATACTGCTCTTCTATTTGGGACCCACACAACACAAACCAAATACAACAAATGGAAAAACACAACAAAGAGCAGCATGCGACGTAAACAACAAATATCACAACACCAGTTCAGTAACAGACATGCATGCGTGATCCAAAAACTACAATGGCCAACACTACAAACATGACGCTTAGCCTTCACACAAGAATAATCCTTTTTTATAAAATAGTTCACCAACTCATAGCAATATAACCAACATATATGAAAGTTTTTTTTATATATTGCGATGTCAGAGCTACGAAGCAGTCCTATGCCAACTAATGGAGCAAAATCAAAAGTGCTAATCAGTAAGATTACATATAATTCATGACTCATATGAGTATTTTGTTATCAAAATATTGCATAATTGTTGAAAAAACGAATCCTTACCAATGAAAAAAACTCTTTCACATAATTAACCAAGGTGTCTTGAGGAAAAAAATAGAAGCAACTGCCTTGACGGATCATGCATGATGTTATCTCAATTATCCTTTCTGTATACGGCCTACATGGCCAAATATAGTATTACTACTGATGCCGCCATGTTTACTACAATTTCCATATTGGGTCATGACATCCATATTTAGACCTTTCCAACATGGCGGTCAATTCAGACTTCGATTGCTATGCTAACTTGATAATTTAATGACATTTTAGCCAGAGTTTAATTTCAAGTTGTGCAGGGATATCAACAGATATAGTTCATACTACAACCCTATTTATGGATGCGGACCAATGTGCTGTCAATTAATTCTAAAATCGCCCCGTTATGATTCATACCGGGCTTGCTCCATTACGAGGCATGGGATCAATGTGTTTGTATGTGTATGGGTTAGTACTCATTGATACCCGGCAGCCCTCATCACACGCTAGTACATACTCCAGCTTTTAACTTTTTATCTTATACCCTGCACAAAACCCCCCACTTATCACTGTAAATAATCCCTTTTTTCACGCCTCTGCACAGGGTCAGAAGGGCATAAACATCACTTTACAGCTAAGAAGAATAATTTTTGGACGAATTGGTGGTTATTGCTATTAAATGAAACTTCAAAATCATATGACTACTCCATATTGTCTCAGCGATGTGTTAGGCGCTTGTGCTGATGCTTTTGGTGCATATTAGTAGAATATAATTACTCAATAATAAGTCTACTCCAACTAGGAAGAAGATGGTACTGCAACACGGCCAGCGTCGAACCATAAACATCAGTTATCTCCGACACTCACAGATCATTCATTTGTTAACAATTCAAAAAATGATATTATGCTCAGATGACAAAATGTCTGAAGTTTATCAACTAAACAATAAACGTACATCTTTAAAAATTGACATTCCTTTTTCTTGATCCATCTTGAACTTGAAAATAACTTTCCTTCACAGCCACAGAAATATCTTTATGAAGTCTCGCCGGTGCTCGTCGAATGCGAGATTTACTTGATTGTCCGGAAGTATCTGACTTTATCTATAGATTTATATAATAACCTCTGATGAAATCCGAATCACGTTGTCAGTGAAAACAACATGGCGACCGGATTGGTTCGAAGTGCCTCCTACATAGGAGAAAAGAAGAATGAGATGCGAAATGGTGAGTATTACATAAACAAAACGATGCCCATATTTCATCAATGGAGATATGTTTACATTTTTGTGTAGTCTGGTGTGAAGAACAGTTACGTTTACGTGTTTTTATATGTTTGAGCATCACGTCAACTACGATCAAGTAACTGGATGTGTTATAAACGCTACTGAACTACATTCCACTGTTGGGTATCCGACCGTGTCTACAATTACATGAATAGCTGCCTTGAGGCTATATTGTTTTCATTGTGATCAGTCGTATTCACCTCAAGTATGTATTTCAAATGGGATTATTTTGTATGAAGAACTGAACAGATGAAGCAAACTAGCATGTAGAAAGCAAGAAGAAGAAAAAATACTTGCTGAATGTATTAGTCATTATAAGCCCTTTCTGACTGTATAAAACATTGTCACGGAATATATTGTAAATGGTGGTAATATATTTGTAACAGCTATAGGAGAGGTTGTTGCATGGATTTGAAGTTTGAACCTAAATAGACCTTCAGAACTCCAGATGGCACTCTGCAAATTTAGCTTAATGGTTATAATAATAATTATTGTTATTCATGTAAAATAGGCATGTTATAACAAGATATCACAACTAAGAATAAAATATATAATTAAAATCACAATGCAGCTTGTAAATAAAAAAGAGTATTTTGTATTAAGACTGGGAATAATAATAGATCTGACCTAATAACAGATTTTTTAATTCAATCATTGACATATATAACAGAATATAAAAATCTAAAAAAAAAAAAAAGTCTGATACAGTACTTTAAAAAAAAAAGAGGCAGATATTACTATAAAATGAGACAGACTGTTTTAGTAAATGAAGGTATTAAAAAAAAATAGGTCACATAATAAGAGTGGTGGTGAGTGCCATAAATTTTACCTAGGATTACTCATAAAAGCCACAAAGTGGCTTATTCCCACTGGGGTCCTTTAAAAATGGAAGAAAAATAAGAAAAAAAGTAAATAAATCAATCCCGTAACGGTTCAGATAGCACAGAATAGGATATGTGTGTATCATATTCGATAATTAATCAGTAAAATTGTATTTCCTATATAGAAAACAATACAACATACATAATAATTATTTTATAGTGGCATTTCCTACGTCTTTCCTGTTGATTAGTGCAACTTACTACCATTCATAATATTGATTGTATTGTATGAATTAATCTTGTGAGATGTATTACTACAACTGAAATCATTGCATGGTTGCGCTGTTTCTTCAAGTTAATTATTATATTGTATGTTGTGTATTTCACACCACTGTATGACTATATTGTATGACTTCGTGCAACGGGTTCTACTCAATGTATGATTGTATTGTAAGACTTATGTAACAGTAATACTGTCTATAATAATGCTGTATAATTTATAGTGTGATGCTTGTAATACTGTTTTAAACAGTTTATTACAATGTTGTATGATTGCTTAGTACGAGAAGTGGATTACTGTCTATGCTATTATATGATAATGTAGTTTGAGGAGTGTAAATATGTCTATTATATCAATGTGTGATGTAATGTAAGATTAGTGTTATACTGTCTGTCATCATAATTATCACCGTATAATGACTGTAATAGTACCTATTATATCATTGTGTTGTGTTTATAGTACTTTATGGTATGATGCATGTACTATTATTATTCTCTTATGTGTGTGTCTGTCCATGTGCATGTGTGAGTGACTATGTCAGGTTGTGACCATGATTGTGAATGCATTTTCTTCTCTTTTCAATAGTGTTTTGTTCGTTATTTCTGTAACTCTTCATTTCTGGAGGAAATAAAGGAAATAATAATAATAGTAGCAAACTATAGAATATTTTTACATAGTTATTTTCAAAGATATGAAAATAAAACAAACTAAATATACTGACAGATCTTGCTGGCAAAGGACTCAGTGCAGTTCTGCTTCACATTGTTAAACAATGCAAAAAAATATCACTTTTTTTCAAATATGAAAAGAAAGGTTATAATCATGCATATACATGTATGCAGAACTGGACTGCGTCCTTTTAATTGCCAGCAACCATTAAGCTGAATTTGCAGAGTGCCATCTTGAGTTCTGAAGGTCTAAGGTTCAAATCCAGGTCTGCATGGCCATGCATTTTCCTCTCCTATATTTAAAGATTTATATCTGATGGATAGGTTCATTCAGAGTCCTCTGCTGTCAACTCCTTGCACCAATCTGTATGTTGTCTTTGTAATTAAACTTCTGAGTATGATCTTTCCAGTGTGTATCTTTTAGTTTAGATTCAAATTGTTTTCTTGCCCCATAATATATATAAACTTTATTTCCTTTACAACAATTAAGAAACAAGTTTTAACATGATATATTAATCACTTTGCTTGGCTTGGATGGAAGCGTGCAGGGAGTTTTATATGTTAGTTTACATTTTGGAGATACTGTTTCCGAATGAAAGAACATTTCGCAGAGATAATATAATGGAGGTCTACATTCATTAGCCTATCAGTATAATTTTGGAGTTATCTAAGATATGTACATGTTGGCTGGCTGTTTCAGTGGTAAGCTGAGTATGCTTTTTGTGATAGCATTACAAAGCTGGAAGTTTTATGTGGAAAATCAATATCCACCAATCCTATGTTATATTTACGTTACCTCCTTCATTTCTCTGTTGTCACCCCAAATAGAATTATACCAGGTACACAATGAAAACAAATTAAGAAATTTAGTATGTTCAATCCCACATAGTGATTCTTTATAAAGAAGATTGTACATTTTTTTGTATTGTGAACAAGACAGTCCATTGACTTTGTTTAAAGTTGCCTTTTGTTTTAGTTATTTCTGTAAATATTTCCTAATGATAGCCTGATTATTGATTTCTTAAAAATGAAAATTTTCAGTTAATATTTAATTGTTTTAACTGGTCAACTATTTCTATTACAATTAAGCTGCTCAGTCTATATATTTTACAGTTGAATAATAGCAGGGACTGTATAGAGCTCCATTATATGTCCCTGACAATAGCAACCACACAGCATTTGAATGAATATGATAGCAAAAGATAAAAAAGACAAATACAAATTTGTTACATTTTAATATTTTACTTCACATAAAACTAAAAGCTAAAAATAATTCTGATAAAGGTAGAGAACAAGTTTTACACATTTTATACGTTTTATCAGAAAGTAGAAGTTACGAGGTGACAAGTACTTGGTGTTGTAATCTAATACAGAGATTGTACATGTTATACTTTATTAAAGGGTTTCAAATGTTTTCTCACCAAAGTGATATCCAAGTGATCTATCACACAGAACAGGTGTGTCTTATGTACAGATCAGGTAGATCCTGTTACTCATGTACAGGTGTAAATAGGCCGAGTACACATGATTAAAGATAAGAGGATTTTTTATGAAATAATCTCCTAGATTCAGAGTGCAGATATTTAACATCACTTAACCGTCTCCCATACACTCACAGTCTAGGAGCTTACCCTGAGATACAAACTTTTTGTAGCCTTTATTTTATTTTTGAAAATGTGAAGAGTTAAAGTAATATATTGTCAATAATTAAGGCTCAGAAATAATTCTGGAATTCTAATGGTAAAAAACTGAAATAATGTTGATATGCTGATGAAAGATTGCAAACCTCTTTCTGCTATGCAATGGAGTTCTAATTATTCATTAGAATGAAAATAAACCCTAGAAGTTAGATTCAAGTTACAAATTATGTGGAATTTTCTAAATAAGGTATGTGGCATTGGTATGTTTAATTCAAATTGACATTATGTAACTTTTGAATATTTAGAAACAAGGTGTTAATTTCCAATGATTCTATATAAAATTCTAAAACTTGTTACCTCTTGAAAAAAACCAATGGATTTACACCAGGGCCATATTTGTTCAAAAGGTGATTAGCTTTATCAGTGATTAGCGCAAATCTTAATTTTTGTGTATCTTTAAGACACAACCAAGCATGCAATGAATTAGTTACAATTTTCCATGTATCAAATATTTATTAGAGTGAATTTACATGCAAAGTTGTGAGATTTTACCTTGAATATTGACTAAATTATTAAAGGTTGAAAAATGTTGTCAAACGGTGATTAAGCTAACCACTTTTTTGAAATGCTATGTCAGAGGTATACTCAGATTATCTCCCTTGGTTCATTTTACTATGATTTGTCCTTTTGTAACTAACTGTTTGGTTACCAAAGCTACTTAATTCTAGTAGGTGTACACACTGTATATATGGATACAATGTTTGAACGATATGCAGCTTTATCTTGATGTCATAATCCTGGTGATTTTCCTTTTTTTTTCTCCATATTTCAATAACTTAAATGTGAAAGTGCATGCACATGACTACATGCATACACTAAGCTAACAGAATCAACTTCAGCTGTCTTTAGCCTAGGGGACTATTGGTTTTATATAATAGCTATATTTTCAATTATAGTATATCAGTTCTATCTTCTTGTAATATGATGTATATGTACATGTAACTGTTCTGTTTCACTGTGTCTTGATAAAGGAGCGGATCGCTTCGAAAATTTGACAACCTTAACTTGTCCACACTGTTGGAATTACTTCTTATGCCCCATATATATATTGAATGATATATATATAATATTGTTATGACAATGTGAATTCAATATTATATTATGTCTTCTTCTAAACAACATGACAACCAGTGTGTTTATCATTTGTTTATGATTTTTGTCGTACCTTTTTTTCTGTAATAGAAACCTTAGCTTTATTAAGGTTTACATTCCACACTCAGCAATAAAAGCTAGCTGGAGAGGTCAAAAGGTGCATTGCCGAGACCCCTTAATTAATATGGTAATGACATTTAAATGATTTTCAGCGCAAAGTAATACTAGCTTTAT